GGCAACATCATCAACATATACCAACTGATCAGGTGGTGGTGCGTATATAACGCCGCCCTTTTCCCATATCCCATATAAATATAATGTACATATATACGCCTATATAACTCCATCTGGTCATGGGTCAGTGTGCATGTATAAATTCTTGAAATGCATAAGAAATATGTTAATAAGATTTTCTCAGAATGCCATAAAACTTAATATGCCTTTCGGATAAACTTTATCAAATACTCATTTTTTTGAGACCATGAACAGACGATAGGATAAAAAGACTTATGGGGGAATAAGAATATACACATCTCTAGTATTTCTACGAATAAAGTAATTTATGGAAGTTGTGCATTTGCTCGTTTTGTTTGTGGCGTATAGATCATGCCAAAAAAAAAGAAAGTATGGCCTTAACATACCTGGAGTAGGGAAAATCCTTATGATATTCTTAGAAAATATTACACCGTACTTCTTTATAACCGCAAACTTTTACGTTGTTAGGCTTCTAAAACTTCTCGTGGTTAATGATGTGTTGAAAATCAGAAATTTGTTGAAAGTGTTATAAGATGGCAACGTTCTGTTTTCAATAAAACTTCCTAACTATCAAGTCATTCCTAAGCTCTAATTGTAGGAGATGACTAAACTTCTGATTTGGTGTTATTGTTGGTAGGGATGGTATATCAAAATGTAAGGAATGAAGTGGTGTAGGAATTTTTTGTAAGAACGAATGTGCAAAGGCTTTATCTAGTTTAGTGTTGAAAATATGAAGTCGTCTTGCTCATGTTTTCAATATATGAAGTATTATCCATTTGTTGCCACCTATTCCAATGTGACCATGAGTAATTGTTTGGAAAGTAGTTGTCTGCCACGTTTTTGGAGGGTTGGGTTGAAATTATTAATCTTTATCCACATATTAGGTAATTAGGTAATGTCCCGTTACCCAGTAATTAACCAATTGCCTGCATAATTAAGAATTGTCTTAAATTGCTTAGAAATTATACTCATTTTTAATATACTTTATACATCATAATATCACGGTCATATGGTACCTTGTATGGTACTAGTCCATAAATATCGGGTATTATAGCTCGGACCGTCTTACCCCAAATCGACAACCTTCAACTAAACTCATTTTCTTTAATCGTGTACCCTTTATTCTCCATGGCACTTACTTATTGCTTGTTATAAATAGCATAAATGTGCTAATTTCAAGATAATCTCATCCCCGAGTCTCCGTCAATTAACTAAAAATGAAACTTTAACGTACGAAAACGCAAGATATAACATCCATCCCCCCTTAGAAACATACGTTCTTGAATGTTTAACTCTCCGGGATCTATATAACCTTGGCAGAGTCGCCTTTGTATCAATACTACTATCAACTCTTCCTGTAGAACCTTAATAACTGAATGCCACATGTGACCATAATCATCAATAACGACAAGGGCCTCACACGACCAAAGACAATAACTGACACAAGAATCTATACACGTACCTTAAGGTTATGACGTCTCAGTCGAACCCTTCTCTGGAGGAGGAAATAAGTAGGGATATTTAGATTTCATGTCTTCCTCGGTCAAAGTCATTTCTTCCACATTGTTGTTTCTCCAAAGCACTTTCACCGAAGCTACATCTTTAGTTCTCAATCTCCAAACATGTCTATCTAGTATAGCAATGGGAGTTTCTTCATATGATAGCTGCTCTGTGACCTGAACATCGTCAACTGACACGATTCTGGAAGGATCTCCGATATATTTATGGAGCATGGACATATAAAAGAGTTGATGTACAGATTACAAGTCCGAAGGCAAGTCCAGCTCATATGGTACCTGGCCTACCTTGTATCGTCGTCGATTATCCGCATATGCCTTCTGACAGCTTTGAGCTGCCAATAGCCTTTCCTGTATAAACTTAATTTTCTCGATTGCCTGTTGTACCAATTCTGGTCCTACTAACGTAGTTTCCACAACATCGAACCACCCTATAGGTGAACTGCATTTTCGTCCGTAAAGAGCTTCGTATGGAGCCATCTGAATACTAGAATGGTAGCTATTATTATATGCGAACTCAATAAGCGGCAGATTATCATCGCAGCTACCTTTGAAGTCTATCACACCAGCTCGTAACATATCCTCAAATGTCTAAATAGTACGCTCAGCCTGTTTGTCTATATGGGGATGAAATGATATACTAAGACTTACCTGAGTCCTCAATCCCCTTTAGAAGGACCTCCAGAAGTTAGCGGTAAATTGAGCTCCTCTATCTGAGATAATAGATACAGGGACACCATGCAGTCGTACTATCTCCTTAATATAAAGCCTTGCATAATCCTCTACAGAATTTGTAGTCCTAACGGGCAGAAAATGAGCTGACTTTGTAAGCCTATCAACAATCACCCATATCGAATCGAACTTACGCTGGGTACGAGGTAAGCCTACGATGAAATCCATATTGACTACTTCCCATTTTCAAGTCGGAATCTCCATAGCCCGCAATAATCTACCGATTTTCTGATGCTCAATCTTAACTTGCTGACAGTTAGGACACTGAGCAACAAACTCCACTATATTCTTTTTCATTCCGTCCCACCAATATACTTCTCTGATATCATGATACATCTTTGTCGCCCCTGGATGGATAGATTAATGAGAATAGTGAGTTTCCCCCATAACTTGCCGCCGCAGCCCTACAACATTATGGATACATAGTCGTTCTCGATATTTGAGAACTCCATCTTCTGTAATCTCAAACGGTGTTGTCTCTTTTTGAGAGGTGGTATCACTATAATTAACTAACACAGGATCCTCGTACTGATGTTCCTTCACTTCAGTTACTAACGAGGATGTTGATGTATCTTGAATAGTAATTTCAATATCACCTGAGTCTAGTAACGAACTTCAAGACTAGCTAGCTGATGAATCTCATGAGCTATTTCCCTCTTCTCTGGCTATAAATATGATCGGCTGCCCATCGATCGCGGCTGAGGGCATCGGCTACCACGTTCGCCTTCTTTGGATGGTATAAAGTATTAACATCATAGTCTTTAAGTAGCTCCAACCATATTCTTTGACGTAAATTCAATTCCTTTTGCCTGAAGATATACTGGAGGCTCTTATGTTCAACATGAATGCCATACAAGTAGTGCCTCCAAATCTTTAGTGCATGAATCAATGCGGCTAACTCTAAATAGTGGGTCGGGTAGTTCTTCTCGTGCTTTCTTAGTTGTCTAGAAGCATAAACTACAACAGCAGGCAACCCAATCCAATGCCTGAAGCGTCACAATAGATAATGTAACCATCAGTCCCTTCTGGGAGCGTTAGAACCGGTGCTGAAGTTTGTCTGTCCTTTAATGCCTGGAAACTCCCTTCGCAAGCGTCGATCCAATAAAACGTGGATCCCTTCTGAGTTAACTTACATGGGTATTCTAATCTTTCACAATTCATCGATCCAAAGATTGAAAATATCTTAGGTCCTTAGGTTTGCTGAGTCTTTGTTATTTGTTCTTCATTTGTAACACCAACTTAGCTTAGTTAGACGCATTGTGTAGGAAACCCTTTGTAAATCATAAACCCTTGTGTTTGTGTCTTGGCTATAGTTAGTCGAGTTGTGAAGTCTTTGTAATAGAGTTATTACAAAATGGCTTGTAATAGTGTTGCTACAAGTTAGTGAGTGATTAAGTCTTTGTAATAGAGTTATTACAAAGTGGCTTGAAATAGTATAGTTACAAGTTAGTGAGGGATTAAGAGACGTTAATTCCTAGGTTACAATAGGTTGTAATCTAAAGATTGCTCAGTAGTGAAGTTGAAATCCTACAAGGGTAGGTGGTGGTTTTAATCCCGTTGAGCTGGGAGTTTTCCACGTAAAATTCCTATGTGTTCTTTATTTACTGCCGATTTACTGTTGGAACAAACAGAGAACCTAATTCCCTATACTGTTTGGTTTTACAGTCTGTTGCATAATCTGTGGAAACTAATATAGGACCTGGTCTCTTTATATAGTTTGGTGGACTCATATATTCTATCACTTGTGCCAAGCCCAACACCAAGAGGAACTTCAACAGCTCAAGAGGTATGATCTTCACTGGTTACCAAGGCAGAGCTAGATTATATGCAGGGGCAGAGCTAGGGGTCGGATGGGGTTCATCCAAATCCTTTGCTTCTTTGCGTCTTTTTATTTTATTTATTTAATGAATCCCTTATGCGAAAATTTTACGTCAGTTAAAAGGGCGATTATTTTTTACACTAATCATCTATCTACAATATGAATGTATGTGGTTCGAGAACACCATATAGGATTTTCACAACAGTACATATACACTGGTTACTTAATTAGTATTGATGTAGCCTTCGAACCAGAATTCTTTGATGCTGGTCTCATATATATGCAAAAGACATCATGCTCTTATAGACGGTCGACTAAAATTCAGTGACCATACGTGCAATTAACATCATTTAACTTTGACTACGGCTCCTGTCGAAAACTTAAATTATTTAAATAAAAGTGTATTCCCTCTAGTAGATTAAGCTTAATTAAATGGGAAGCTCGCAGTACTCTTCAACATGTCATTAGAGAAAACAAAGGTATTGGGTTCGAGTTGCATGCGACATTATAAAAAGAATTTTTACATATTTGGATCGTCTAACAAAATACGGCTTGCATGTGAGGCTGTATTGAAGACAATCAATTAAATAACAAAATGAGGTATGTATGTGAGGGTTGTGTTGAAGAAAATCAAGCAAATAATAAAATAAGGCATGTATAAAAAGGGCGTATTGAAAATATAATTAAATAATTAGTAAAAGTATGTTCTCCGACATTATATAAACTTATAAATGGGATGACCACATACTTTGCAATTGGAGGTGGGACGGATTCTCAACTGTAGGTTACCATTCACTACTAGAAAACTGTATCAACCGTCAAAAAATACAGATAATTTCGGACCGACTTCAATTCGTCGAAATTAGGCTGATCGATGATAAATAGCGATTGGGTTGTCGCAAAGACCGAGATAAGTAAAAAATAGATTAATTTTAGTTTGATTTGAGTTAATTATAGATTTAACAAATAGATAAAATTGGTTTTATTTTCCTTAAGAAAAAACCAACTGAAAAGAAATGGATATAACACATAAAACAGGGCATGTGAGGGCTTGAAACTACGTAATGTTTTCAATATTTGTGTCCACCAAAACGTCTGTGTCTTCGCTGAAAATTACGTACTGCCTCCTTAAGATCTTTTTCTCCAAAATCCGGAAACAATGTCTTGGTGAAGTAGAATTCAGAATAAGCTAACTGCCACAACAAGAAATTACTGACTCTTTGTTCGCCCCCAGTTCTTATGAGTAAATCGGGGTTGGGAATACTGAGACACTTGCTTTCAAGTTCTTTGTCAAATAAATTCTTGTCAATGTCTTCTAGCTGTAGAGAACCATTCATTACTTTACTTGCTATGCTTTTTGTTGCCTGTAATATGTCATAATGTCCTCCATAGTTTAATGCAATCACAAGGTGAAGTCCTTCGTTGGCCTTTGTTGTCTCTTCTGTCAATTCTATGTGTTTTTGTAAAGTGATGGGAAGGTTGGATCTACACCCAATGATAGATATTCGTATGCCAAACCTATTCATTGCAGAAGTCAAAATAAGTTTCAAAAGTCTTTATTTCTTAAAACTCCAAAACCCAGCGACAATACATCCTTTGCTCCTCTTTATTATTTCAACATTTTTTATCTTGTAATTATTTATCAAATCACAAATTAAATAACAGACACAAAGGGAGATACCATTATCCTTTAAAACGAAATAAATTACCTCATAAATTCGTCAAAGAACTCTTCGAATAGTTGCATCAAGAAATCAACCTCCTCCTGCTCTAAATCAAATGGTTAGATACGTTTGAATAAGGAAAATAGAAATTTTCAAAATTATGTAATACCATGGTAAAAAGAAAAAGAAAAAAAAAACAAACTAAGAAGAAGATTAAATTTTCCAACTTTCAGTCAGCAACATGTACCTTGCAACGGTTCCAATTTTCAGTAGAGAAAGCAAATGCAGTGATTACTTGTATTCCCATTTTAGAAGAAACGTCACAAAACTCCTTTAATTTTTGAGTAATAAGCTTGTGACCCTCTTGCACTGGTAAGCCCTTAGCCTTAGCCCATCTCCTATTACCATCCATTATTAAAGCAATGTGTTTAGGCATAAGCTCAGGATCAAGCTCGAGGTCATCATCATCATGCCTTTCAGTTTGAAGGCTCAGTGAACCTGATATCTTGCTGAATCGACGAGCAGATACTGATGTATTCTGCCGTAAACTCAGATGGTGATGATGATATCCCGTATTGAAGACCCAATAGCTCTTTGATAGTAGGAACTGAGATACTAATAAAGAACTCATGATTTTCTTAGCTTTAGTTTTGTGCTTTAAAGTGAAATAGGGAGAGGATCATAGTTGAGAAAGTACACATGCATTCACTACAACATAAGGTATTTATAGCTACAAAATCTCATATACGAATTTAAAAACGTGGCTAATACCTAACAATAGCCGCAAAAATTAGTTTTGCTATAATTACTAACAATTGTAGTAATTGCCTAAATAGCTACAAATTTATTGCTACCATAAAATTGCGTAGCTAATTCACACATTTTAGCCAAGCATTAAAAGTTATTGTAGCAACAACAACCTTTTAGCCACAATAAATATTTAAAATAAAATATTGTAGCTAAAGAAATACATTTGCTTCAAGTTATAAAAAATTATGGCAATACATAAATGATATAGCCACAGTTTTAATGTTTTAACAAAATACTGTAGCTAATTATTAGTTTTTGCTACAAACTGAAAGTTTGTAGAAAAAGTAATCTTTTAACCATAGTAAATTATTTAAAGGAAAAGGGTCTGATCTGTCCCTCTACTATGATAAATTGTTTAAAGTTGTCCCCCGTTATACTATTGGACCATAATACTTCATGCCGTCTTACTATCCTAACACATTTATCCCTAAGTGGACGGGGGGACACGTGGCACTCATCTGTACCTTTTTTACATCTAGTATCATATTGGAGAGACCGAATCCACGATACCCCGTACATACCCAAACATCATAACCCGTAAAATATTACACAAAATAAACCCTTTTCATTCGTTTTATCTTCTTTGTCTTTCATTCTCTAGAACTCTCTAACCTCTCTCTTATCTGTTGACTGTCGACTTGAACAACAAACGCCATAAAGGTAATACCTTCCTCCATTAAAGTGATTTGTCTCTACTATATTATTTCTTTTAGTATTTCATCTTTTTAGTATATTTCCATTTTTTAGGATTTTTATTCTAGGGTTTCGATTTCTTGGGTTTCATCTACATCCAACTTAAGTTTCTGTAATTTCAGTTATATATTCTTATTTCTTGTCTGTTTCTAGTATTTTCATGCATTTTTAGGCCTTTGTTGTTTATTTATTGTTGGGCATGATGATGTATAGGCTTCTCTATTTTGTGAGATTTTGTAGGGTTATGTGGATTTTGTTTTTTGTCTTTGTTAATAAAATATGTGTAATGACCCGACCGGTCGTTTTGAGCTTTTGCATTTCGCTCGCCAGTTCTCGGGCATGACTAGCCCCGTGTGTTGTATTATGACTTATGTAAATCATCGGTTTTGGTTTTCAGGATAATCGGAATAGATATGGAAGAACAATTCTCAGTTTGAAGCTTTAAATTTGAAATGTTTGACCAAGTTTTGACTTTTTTGTATTCGATCTCAAATTTGGATTTTTATGATTTGGTTAGCTCCGTTAGGTGATTTTGGACTTGGGAGCCTGTCCGGAATATATTTTGGAGGTCCGTGGTAGACTTAAGCTTGAATTGGCGAAATTGAACTTTGCGCATTTTCCGGCCGGCAGTGGAAATTTTGATATCGGGGTTGGAATGGAATTTTAGAAATTAGAGTAGGTCCGTTGTGTCATTTGTGACGTGTGTGCAAAATTTCATGTCATTCGGACGAGGTTTGATAGACTTTTTGATCGAATTCAGAATTCGGAAGTTTTGGAATTCTTAGGCTTTAATCCAGGGGATGATTCGATGTTTTGATGTTGTTTTGAGCGTTCCGAAGGTTGGAGCAAGTTTGAATGATGTTATGGGATGTGTTGGCATGTTTGGTTGAGGTCCTAAGGGCCTCGGGTGAGTTTCTGGGTGGTTTCAGACCATTTCTAGGCCATCTCTAGTTGCTGGTTTTTGGCTTCAGGGGTGTACAGTGCGTTAGCATAGATCTGACCACCTTAGCATAGAGAAAATTTGGAAAAATGTATTTGTACTATGCAATCGCGTAAGTCTTCCACCGATCGCATAGAGTAAAATCTCTGCTGCACTGACCCGACTTTGGAAGCTTATATGTCACAATCAATAAGGAATTTGAAGATGACCCAAAAATAAAAGTTGTAGCCATTGATGTCTAGTTTTCAAAAAGTTAAACCAGTTGTAATTTGGAGTTTTGTACAAAAAGTTATGACCATTATACTAAAGGCTGTCCGGAAGAGTTGGAGAAGGCTGTTGGAAAAATTTGTTCTACACGATCGGATAGGTTAAGAGAAGGGCTGGAAACTTTTGTGCTTCGCTATCGCCTTAGTTTGTCCTAGATAACATAGGGTAAATGCCTGGGCATATTATAAAGTACTCTATTTCGAGGATTTCGGCCATTTTTTAATTTTGGAGCTACGGAGCTCGGATTGAGGCGATTTTTGAAGGAATTTTCAGAGGATTGACTGGGGTAAGTATTCTTCACTCAAATTTGGTTAAATCTCATAATTATGTCTTGATTCTTATCGTTTAATTCGGGAATTTGGGGTGAAAAATGGGAAAATGGAGGAAGGTTCGGAGAGTTGATTTTGGGGATTTGGATGGCCATTTGATGTCCGATTTTGGTGAATTTTATATGGGTAGACTCATGAGCGTATAAGTTTTCCAATTTTGTGATTTTTATCGGATTCCGAGACGTGGGCCCGGGGTCGGGTTTGGCCAATTTCGGGATTTTTGGTGTAAATTGGTTATTTTCGAGTGGGCTTTGTTCCCTTAGCAAATTTTTGATGGTATGAATCTATTTTGGTTAGATTTGGAGCATTCGGAGGCCGAATCGAGAGGCAAGGGCATCGCAGGCTAGAATTTGGACTGAATTGAGGTAAGCAATGATTGTAAATGTTGTCTTGAGGGTATGAAACCCCGGATTTAACATCGTTATGCTATTTTGAGGTGACACACACGCTAGGTGACGGGCGAGGGCTTGTGTTGTGAGGATGTTATGGGATCGAGCTGTGCGCCGCAGCGTGTTACACTAATTTGTGATATATGAGAGGCCGAGGGCCTGATTCATTATGCCACGAGGTGGCTCGTGATTGTTATGAGATCGAGGGACTGTTTGATTATGCCACGAGATAGCTTGTTATAGCGCTTGGGCTGTAAGGAGCCCCTCCCGGAGTCTGTACACCCCTAGTGACCGTGGATACCTAGTGTGAGATGTGATATTGCCCGAGGAGCTGTTGTTGTTTCATGTTATTGCCCGAGGGGCTGATACGAGTGATTGTGAGATAGCCCGATGGGCTGGTTCTATTGATATTTTGCCCGAGGGGTGGTTATGGTACATGTTTTGCCCGAGGGGCTGTTTTTATGTTTCTATACTTTTACTCACTGCTTTCATCACTCGTTTGAAACTTTTGAAAGGTGTTTTATAAGGTTTTCCCTAACTGAGGTGTTTTACAAGTTTTGCTGCTTTACTAATTGTTCTAGACTTATACTATTTTGCTGTAGCATTATGTCGTGGTTTGCGTGTTTTCTTACTGCTCAGCTACCTTTACTTTTATTACTTATTTAGTTGGCGTACTCATATTACTCCTTGCACCTCGTATGCAGATCCAGGAGCTTTGGGTCGCGATAGCGAGTGTTGATTGCTTACCAGCTGATCCTCAGAGTTGATTAGGTAGCTGCTTGGCATTCGCAGTCCAGTGCTTCTCCTTCCTATCCCACTTAGTCTTGAATTAGCATTTCTATCAAACTATGTTGTCTTTATCTTATTCCTAGACGAGTTGTAGTTGCTCATGACTAGTGACACCCCGATGTCGGGCTGTGTTTTGGTTCCCCATTGTCTACTTTGACTTATATTATGGATTTGTTAGTTAATTATTGACTCTAATTGTCCTAATATGAAATATTTTGATGGCTCGGGGTTTGTGTCAGCAGGCCTAGTTTCATGATAGGCGCCATCATGACTGGTCCGTTTTAGGGTCGTGACAAGTTGGTATCAGAGCATAGGTTACATAGGTCTCAGGAGTCATGAGCAGGTTTAGTAGAGTCTCGCGGATCAGTACGGAGACGTCTGTACGTCTCCTCGGGAGGCTGCAGAACCTTCAGGAAATCCCACATTCTTGAATTCTTATCGTGCGACATTGATTCAGCTTGTAATGTAACTCTTTGAACTCCTTCCACGCGTTCGTATGTGAACATGAGCGCTCGGTATAAGGAGTGCATCGACAACTTGTGATTTCTTGAATTGAGGGGCGAGATGTGATTTTTGTGTGTTGATGTTTGGCCACTCTAGAGGACTTGAGGCCGGGCTTTGCTTGTAGCTTGAGCACTGAGGTGCTGATTGTGTGAGCACGTGCTTTTGGACTTATATATCTGATAGTGTCCCTATTAGTGGAAGTGATGGCTGGATGTCTATCTGATGAGCATGATGTGACTGTATGATGTGTTCATACGATTTAGATGTGATAAGAAGAGTCTACTTGAGGGTAGGAAGAACGATTTGGTGCTTGATTTTCATCTTGGTTTGATATGTAGCCCCGAGTTATGGGTGTGTTGAAGGATCTTTTCGTGTTTTCTAGTTTTGGAATGAAGTAAACTCCACGTCGTGGGGTAAGTTTAGATTTAGGAAGGATAAGTGATCGAGTAATAGTATGATTATGGGGGAGTATGAAGAGATGTTAGTTTGAGGCAAAGCAGGTGGGTTATCTCCTGCGGAGTGTTCTGAAGTTTGTGTGATCCTTTTTGCTTTTTGTTGGAAGACCTCTTGTACCAGTGAAATATATGTGCGGCAATTTGAATTTGGATCGCTTAAAAGAGTGGGCTTAGGTGTTACGAGGGTGAATGTGAGATTTTTGCAGAAGATTTGAAGTACTAGATGGTTTGTGCTGCATGAGCTTATGAAGGATTTAGTTTAATCTCACCACGGTATTATGGCAGTAGATGAGTATATGCATTGTGAGTTATTGTGTGTTTTGATCTATGGCTTTGAGCCAAGTGGGGAGTCTGCTATTGATTAGTTGATTGCACGATTATGTGCTATGTTGGTTCCAGTTTGAGGCGTACTGGTGAATTAGTTATGGCTTACGGAGGTTGAGACCGAGGATGGCTCGAGTAAAGGAAATTTCAATAAAGGTTATGTTATGCTTTATGGGTGT